CCCTAACCGTTGTTCCCAGTCAGATAGCGCCAAGCAATCTTTCCACAAGCAATATGTTTCATTTTAAAGTTGCTGTTTACCTTGGCCCATTAATGTGAGAAGCAACATCGGGACGCAGCTTACAGTATATCACATTTCAATATATATATACATACGTGTTACGACCCCAAGTGTCTAGGGGTAAAGGGGTGTAACATTTAGGATAATTCTTTTGGAAGCAGGGGGGGGTTTGGTGAGGGACTAGGAAGTATGATAACTATGATAAGGAACTAGAGTGGTGCCAAAGGAAAGAAAATAAACAAAAATGGAGCTGGCTAGGACAGTGAGGGAAAGCTAATCTGACTACAAAAGAAAACCCGAAACACACGGTCTTCGGCGTCTTCAACACCCTAGCTAACCTGCACTGACTACCCAAAACCATACAAGACAAATGGCACTCACCCATACTAAACTAGTGTACTAATACAAAATCAACTAAGTGTGTAAGTGTACCCAACAACCTAAACTAACCTTATATACAAAAATACAAGTGAACCAGGAAGACAAATAAGGGAAACAAGAGTAATAAATAGGAGCAGGGTACAAAAAGAACACAAAAGTAAAACATGTAACACTGTAACACAGGGGCAAGGTAATGACAAAACAAGGATGAACACACAAGCAAACGAAAGTACAAAGAAACTAACGTAAATCCAACAAAACAACAAAGCCGAAGCTATACGAAAATACACACACACAAAGCAAAACAAACCAACAAACGAAGCCAAAGCAATAACCAGGAGCGAAGCGAAGCGATAACCAAAACCGAACGGGACCGAAGTCAAACGAAAGGCCTCTCCTTTCTGAAAGCCTCCATGTTATATAGTGAATAAGATGTGTTCTGATTGGCTGAGGGCTGTTTGATGATGACATCATATTGTAACAGTGGTGTGATGGTTGGCCAATGGGGAAGGGAGAACAATCAAGGGTCAACAGTGTGGACATAACAGAAAAAACACACACAGAACACACACTGGGACGTAACAATACGTTAGGCTGTGTTTTGAATACAACACATGTCAGACCTGGAACAATGGCAGAAGTGGCAGAAGAACAGTTTCTTTTATTGTAAGTTATTTGACACCAGAGGGGTGCTCCATCAGAGTCAGTGCTGTCACACAGGTTTTAATAAGCGACAGCTGAATGCTCTTACGATCATAATGAGCTCCTGTGGACACACCGTCATGTCAGCCCTCACTCTGTAAGTTATCAATCATGATCTTGATCCTGATCAAAGAGGCTGCCTTCCCGGTAGGAGACTGTTGAGCTTAATAATGCATTAAGGAACCTGTCTTCATAAGCTTGTTAAACGGAAAATTAAATTTTTGAAATGCTGCGATGAAATTTCACAGATGAGTGAATCTGGCATTTCAAGCATTCAAGTATCAGTACATAAATGACTTTTTAAAAGATAAAATATAAATATAAAAATAAAAGAAATAAATAAAATAAGTGAGCCAGTTACTGTACAATCCCAGTCCCAGTGATCAGTGCTAAATTGAGGGCATACTGTACAGTTACAACATTTAAAATAGCAAAAGACAAACTATTTTGCTTCTTTCTTAAAGTGTTTTATTGTCTGACAAACTGCCAGTGCTTTCTTAGAATAAGTTGCACCTTTTTTTAAAAGCTAATGTTATTTTTTTTATTTTATTTTTCAACTTTATTTTTTTCAACAAATTAGAACTTCATTGAAAAAGAGACTTTTTTTTTCTCTTGTGAGTTTTTGTTGATTTGTATCTACTGTATATGCGTTTACGTTTTAATCTTTTGGGTTTTGCTTTTCTACTTCTGTTGCTGACTGAAAGCCAGATGTTGGAGCAGCAGCTTGAGTTTGGCATTCTATGCAATGAAGTACTATAAGATAAATAATATAAAATTCCATAAAACACATCAACAGTTGTGTTTTAACTAATTGATCTTACCTTGTTTGTACAGTCAAAAGTAGAAAGTGATTGCTTCTTTTCATTCTCATAATTGGAAGACATGTATCTTGAAATATAGTGCTAGAAATGTGTGTTTTAAGTTCATTTTAGGACTAAACACAACTTGATGATGGAACATGCAGGTGGTTTAGATCCAGTATGTTTTGCATGACAAAAATATCCTAGTTAATATTTCAGAAAGTAAAGTGGCTGATGAGAAAGAACGTGAGAATGTCTTAAAACTAATCCGTATTGGACATATTGGATTTGGTCCAGTATAAGCATCATATGAAAGGAAATACAGTGAAATTGTGTTTGCCTTATCCTGTGGTTTATTGTTTCAATGCTTCTTTGTGGTTTCCATTTTTATGTGCACCGATAAAATGACAAGAAGACGGTGGTCTTGTGCCTGAGATATTCATGATACTTTCAAAAGACTTTTCAAAAGCCTTTACAGGCTTAAGCTAAACTGTTGTTGCTGTCGAGCAGAAGCAGAGGTTCTTGTTAAAGAATCAAGCAAATGAGTTGTTAAGCCAGGCAAGCGTTCGTTTTTGTGGTTCACAGTGTGTAATGACACCCTAGGGTGTAACCCAGTGCCTCTCTTGTTTGATGCATATTGAACAACAATTTTCATAGCTCATAACTTTGACTACCTGAGTTACATGGAGACTTTACAGAATCTTATTTGTATAAATAATGGCATTTGAACTGAATTGCTTTTGAACATTTAACCTGCTAGCTTTTCTTATATGAAATAGCATGGAAAAGAAGGTTTACTGGTTCAACAGGTAGTGGATTATACTACTTTCAATTTTGTGGATGAAAGTTTGATATGATAGCTTAATAATTACTCATTTTTCATTAAGAATAATTTTTGTGCTACAGAAATTCAGTTAACTGCTAATTGAATTAAAGGATGATAATGTAATTCGTCAGTCACTCGATGAATATGCAGTGCTAGAGAAAGCGAGCTCTTGGCAAAATTAGTGTCTGTCTGGACTGCAGCCATGAGCATGTGTTGTGTGATTAATTATTACATAGCTGCTCATTCTCTCACTTTGAATCACAATTAAAATTCCCAGTATTGAAATTATAAATGATAACAAGATAGAATAACAAGTATCTTGATAAAAAAAAAGCTCAAAGAAGACTTGTCATGTCTTGAAAGGACACACTTCACACTGCTGTGTTAATTTTATTTTTTTTAAAAGAATGATAATCATGCAATATTCATACCTGTTGGTCAGAACCATTGCCTTTTCGTTCTAAGTATGGATCTTTCTTTTCCCGATGAAACTTTACTTACGTTTGAACTGCATCTCAGAACTACAGGTAATATGTGGTGAGTTTGAACTTCTCAACCCAGAAAAATGTGCACATCTCAATTACTATATATTGCAACTGATGGAATCAGTGGAAAATTCACCTTACTCCCCCATACGGCCATTCTCATTATCTCATTTGAAGGCAGCCCTGCTATAACTATGCAATGTAATTGGGCTGCAAATATTTCAGAAGCCTTCTGGAATGTGTGCCACATCCTACTCAAGCTGTTATTGCTGTGTACCGCCATGCAGAATAAATTATTTGGTGGGGATTCCTAATATTTTGGCTGGTGGGTATATTATAATTCCTAGAATCAATCATTGTATACTGTACTTCCTTGTTGGCTTTGGAATATTTAATCGTTATCAATCCAATACTTTTATAGAAAACACAGCAATGTAAAAAAAAAACATGAACTGAAGCAGATTTAGATACTTTTTAAAGAAGATTGC